GAGAACATTTCTTTTCAATATGGAGCTCTTACAGTACAGTATGTACAATCTGTGATCTGATGTGGACTGCTTTTCAGAAAAATGTATTTTATGTTTCCCCATAAAGCACATTGGAAAAGAAATAGTAAGTTGTTGCAGGTCTTAAGACAGTTTGAGTTCAATGTGAAACATGAGATTATTAAATGTACCACTTTCACTACTGGGCTTTTACAGTATGTGATCGGATCTGTGGCAACACTCCTCAGACCTATTTTTGTCGCATTTATATTTTATGGTTTCCCTCTTAAAAGAGCCGATATTTCACACTGATTCTCAAGAGTCATTAAAATGAAAATTACTTTACTGAGATGTGTCATTTTAGATGTAGTGCTAAGGTATACTTTAGTAGATGACGTTGCAGCTGAAGTGATCAAATTACCACTGATAACGGTAACGATTTTGTGACTTTTAAACAAGTGTTAATGAATGTTACTAATCCCCTCGAAAGAGCAGCAGGTAAACATTTCACTGTAATCAGTGTAAGTTCCTCCATGTGCAAAGTGCAAAGAGAGAGCAGAGGGAGATTAAAGATGTGATTGATGGCATTTTGTATAGACTGGGACCATGGCCTCAGTTTAATGTTAAAGATCAAATCCCATCTGGATCAAATCTTATCTTTTAATGTCAGGGCCGATGATAGAGGAGAGGAATCTGAGAGTGATACAGGATTCTGTCCCTGACAGCAGACCATGAATTGTACAAATTGCTGGTAAAAATTGAAAGGCATAGCCTGGTTTTTAAACCTGAGCCCTGCAACCATACCGAGGCAGTGCGGGAAATGCCATAATGTGATTAAACACAGAGCTTTGGGAGGCTTTGAAGAAAAAAAGTCTAATCTATCTACTGTGGAAAAAGCAAAAGGACACCCTTTTGAAATGGGGGAAAAATTCTCCCCATATCATCTATTTCATGAACATAAAAGATGCGTGAGATTTGTGAGGTTCTGTATATTTCTGTATAAGGAGAGCAGTTTCTCAGGCCACCTTTATGCACATCTGCTGTAATTGCTTTATAACAATAGGTTCAGATATACTGCTGAGTTCACATTTGTTGGATTAATTATGGAAATTCTCCATGCAGAACTCTTCTGTTTATTAAAACAGATGTATGACACACACTTCCACTCGATTATTTAACAGAAGAAAAACTTAGGTAGAATGCATAATGGCCTCTGTCGTATCCTCAGAGACTGATGCTGTTTGTCGGGGAATAAGCAGACAGATGCAGGTAAATGTTAATGCTAAACTCTACAAGCAAGACTGAGAAATACATGTCTGATTTGTTTACTTTGTTCTTGACGGCAAAATGTGACTAACATATTGTTTAGTGTCACTATTCTAGAAACTAATCAAGGTTCAATCTCATCAGAATTATTTAATTTGGTCAAATTTGCCCTTTAGTAAATATATTCAAAAGTAAACTCATACTTTAAGTGTATAACCGACAACAAAAGGTGCATGCTGATTGAATTTGCACAGGTAGAAAGCAGTGAAGAGCAGCATCTATTCACTGAGACAAAAGGCTGCAAATCTCATTTTCCTCCCCATTCTGCCGTGTGGAGAAGCATTCACAGGCAGCTCCCTATGAAGATCAGTCACTGTCAGGGGACATACAGGTTGTCAATTGATAATGAAGCACAGTGCTAAGGGCCTTTAGGTTCTCGCTGTCCTAATTACACTGAGCGAGGACCCTCCACCCTTGTGTTAACATTTGATTTATTTCCTCTGCCTTGTTAGAAAAGACTGGTGTTAATTGTTTTCACAGATGAGTGTTAAACTAGAATATCAGGCTTCATTAATAAGGGGGGCAGACTGTTTACATATAGTGCTTTTGTTGAGTGTCAATGCAGCCAGTGATGTGGGTCAAAGTAATACTAAGGTCAGCAGAGTGTGATGAACGTTTTGTTGTGTTATCTTTAAAGTGACACAAATATTAAAAACATTACATTATTTGCATTGTTTCCCCCTCACAATGCGTATTTGAATTGTCCCTATTGCAGGACTATAAGGCTCATTCTGCGGTAACAAAAACTCAATGGTTGTTATTTTCAGGTGATTATGAAAACATAGTTATGCATATTATATCCCTGCCAAATGGTCCTCCCAAATGTTATACACTGGGCCTTTTTAAAATAAAACTCAACAGTATGCCTCAGTCAAGAAAAACCTAGGAATAGTATTTCCTTAGAAACTATATTTTTAAAAGTACCATTTTTTAGACGAAAAAGCAAAAACCGGATAACTGTGTAAACAGCAGCGTGACACTGAGATAGCTTTATCAATACCTTCCTCATGGTGAGCTGAGCACACACACACACACTCACACACACACACACACACAGCTTTCCAGTAAACAAACAGCTACACACAGTACGCTGGGCTATGATGTGTTCAAATGAATTAACCGTCTCTATCATTTATTTAGTTATTTATTTCGCATATCTAATGTGTGAGAGTAACACTGACATTTTTTCTATGTCTAAAAGCAGCCCAAATATTGTTCCAGTTCATTGGTAAAAATCACAGTTTTAATACTTTTTGCGTTTGACTGAAATTAATCCACTGATTGCTTTACATTCATGGTCCAGCGTGGAGCGATTTGTCATATGGGATTGCTAACAAAACAGTCAATTACTGAGATACGGAGGTCTCTGACTCTGCCTTTGTGGGGAAAGACTAGTGCAAGAAAGGGAGAAGTATTGGATCCCCTGAACAACTTAATCCTTGACATAATCCCTAACTTTAATTTAGTCAAATTCATGTTCACACAAGTAAAGCCACACAGGAACCCGAACAGTTTGAATCAGCATTACCCGACAGGAGAGGGAGAGTGTGTACAAGTGCCTTAAATGTAATTTCTTTTGTGTTGCTGCACTTGATGTCCTTCACAGTGATGTGTCTGCTTTTTTGTCACAAAGCATTACCAAAAGGAGCCACACCTAAAGCAAGATGATGTTACTTTATTGTTACAGGCAGACATGGAGGAAATAATGTGCTGTTGAGCCCATGTCTGGCATAAACCAGCTTCATTGAAGCTTTCAACACATTTTATTCTGCTGATTCAAAATATATTCGATATCTGAAAGGAACTGAACACTTGTATGTATAATGGTAGAGGTTGATTTGAAAAAGCAAGCTTCGGAAGGATTAGAAGAGATTAGATCATGATGAAAAAGAAACATAAGCACTTCACTAAATCTTTAAATGAGCAAGATCCAACAATTACACTGGCAGACAATAGCTAAGTTTACTGTTCTGCACACACTTTGGCCTTACTCCAGTTTAAGTGTTATTCAGGTTAAGCTGTTTATGTGAACCTTTGGTCTGCTGAGATTGATTATCTCTGCTGTCATGAATAAACCATTCAACAATATTATGTGAAGTACTTTTTTTCAGTCCACACAAGGACGTAGGTTTTGTTTCAGAAGTTGGGGGAGCACCGAGTGAAGTCAGAAGTTTTGCTGTTACATCTATATCAATCTAATAAATAACATTATGATGAAATTGATTATTGTGCTTTCCATAAAAACGGTAGTATTATTCAATTTAAAAATGTTATGTCAGTGGTTGCTTTATTATTGAACAATTTTCTAGTTTTCAGAAAAAACGTACAAGAAGTTAGGACAGCCTGAAAGTTGCCTGAGAAGCTAAGCAGAGGGCAAAAAGTCCAACACGAGCTAGCTTCTGCTCATAAAACTTAATTGCTGTGAGTGCAAAACCATAAATGAAAGCAACTCTGATGAGCGTTTAAACATTTTGATCAACTCCTCTTCTCTGATCTGTATTTTGGCAGCTTGACAGTCGAAGGCTATGCGGTGTGTTTAGAGAGATTTTAGGACAAAATCTACTGAAAGTATAAAAAGTCAGATGGACAAAAAGAGGATTTTGAAAAGTAAGGGGGGCATGTCCAACATATCCCCAGTGGAAATTACACAGTCACAGTCCACCAGCAATAAAAAGATGAGAAGGTCTCTAATACATGGGAATGAACTGATGATCCTGAATTGATGATATTATGCGAACGTTGGACGGTTTATGCAGATGACAAAACACGAAAGTGAAAGGAGTCTACATGCCACAGTAACCAATTTAATATTAGAGTATTTGACATTAGAAGCTTCTTAGCCAGTCCCTCTGGGGTTTCTTCTTCTAACTGGGTTATAATGTTTACTTGAATTGTTCCAAAACCAGGTTACTTGAATAACTGGGTTGAGAACAGAGTCCTCTGTAGATGTAAACAGTCACTAACTGGATTAACAGACTGGGGGGGGGGGACAGTCTGAGGCTCAACACAGGTTTGCAATAAGATTAGCTTTTATACATACACATTTTAAAACTATATGTCGACATCTTAATAGCATACATAATTACATTGCATTGCATATTTTAAAAGACAATACTGATACTTTCTTCATCACACAACAGAGGCCTTTTGCAGAATGATCTTTCCTCTGTGTGCTATGTGTTTATGAGAAATATACAAACAACACCAATATGGGTTTTACCTGCTTTATAACAGCACAGAAGGGGGTCTTTTTTCTTTGTATATGATTAGCAATGCTTACAGATGGCAGGGTTGGAGGAGAGGCATTCTGCAAAGTATCTATACGACTGTGCATAAATGTAGGAAGTCTTTACTGTGTTCTGCATACTGTTTAGCCACTTTATTGTTATTGAACGTGACTTGTACTTGCTGGCTTTTTGTGCTTGTATAACTACTTATCAATAGTTGAGATCCATATTGCAGTTTAAGACTCAGAAGGTTTCCATTAGGCTCTACTAGTTAGACATTTTCCCTGCAAACCTTAATCAATAATCTCTGTTGGACATAAATATTTCCTGTTTCCTCTCCTATTACGGATACTTGCCTGTGGAACTAAGTACTGATTGTTTTTATATTAGGTGTTAGACTGAGATGATGAGACAAGTTGACTTTAATGCTTACTGTGTGTCTCCTCACAGGGCTACGATGATGGATATGGTGGAGAATATGATGACGAGAGTTACGAAGCCTATGAGGATAACTACAGCAATCAGTCAAAGAGGTGATGTTTACACACACGCATGCGCGCACACACACACACACACACACACACCAAATGTTGGATGAACAAAAAAAGCTTCAACACTATTTTTTCATTCACCATCTGTCTACTTTTACTTACAGCATGTGAAAGGTCCACTGTGACCAGCTGTCTTATCACTGCTGTACATCTCAGCACTACATATGTTTGTTAATAATTAGTTAAGACCTCCACTTAGATTACTTTGTGCACTCCCAACATTTAGCCTGAACTATGAATTAGCACCCATATCTTTAATTTGATAGGATTTACATGCTGATATTTATGATTCTTATTGTCAAAAAATCCCATGAAAAGACCAAAACCAACAATGAATTGATTCTAAAACCAAGTATTGCATGTGCATCAAAGCCTGATATGTGTCATAGATCTCTATTGTCATTCAAAAAATATTAAAAACACCAAAATGTGAATTAATCCGCAGCTGAAAATAGTCCCTAATAGAAAGAAACTATTAACACCTGTCTACTAAAAACTGCAGTGCCAGGCTGTTTTAGGAAATTATTGAACCTTTTTATAGCTAAGAGATATATTGTGACTTGTTGTTAAATATCTGTGTCTTCAGTAATGTAGGAAAGTTTGAAAGTATAGACAGACACAATAACACATTGTTGGTTTTTGTTTTTTTCATGTAAAATAAAGTAAAATATAGAATAATGACAAACGCATATGTATCCTTTAAATATTTTTATCCAAAAAGAACATTTCACTATTCCTTCCGTCTTTCCTTATTTTACAAAAACAAAATTATGAACAAATAGGGTTTGTTGTGCTTTATTTTGACTGATGTTTCCACTCTGTCTGATTTAGCATTTCAGAATATTATGAATATGGACATGGAACCAATGATGAATCCTACAACAACTATGGTAAATACAGCTTATTTTGTGCTTAGCAGAACTTTGATCAGTCACATTGTTTGTTCATGTGTCATCCTTTCTAATTGCTTTACTGTAAATTGTTTCATGCAGCAAAAGTGTAATCATCATAATCGCACTATTAGAGCTGAAAACATTCACAGAAAATGATTTGGCAACTTTGTAACTGATATATTATTTGAGTACTTTTTCAAGCAAAAATTCCAAACATTTCTTTGGTTCCGGCTTCTGAATCATGAGAATTTGCTGATTTATTTTTTTGGTTTACATCATTGTAAATTCAACATCTTTGGGTTTTGGACTATTGGTCAGACAAACAAGCAATTTAAACATGTCACTATGGGCTTTGGGGAATTTTGATTGTAAGAAATTGTGATCTTTCCCTGTTTTCTTACATTTTATAGACCAAACAATTAGTCAATTAATTTAGACAATAAGTACTCACAGTACTCAAAATAGTAGCATCAGTATAGTTCCAATTGCAACCAATTTCTGTCACAGCAGTATCTGCAACACATTCAGTGTGATAACAGCCCCTCTCTTGAAATGTTTCCAAGTGCTGTCCTTGTACCTGACTTTAAGCCAGTAATATTTCACAAAAACAACAGTGATTTGCCTCTGTTGTTAGTCGAATATGTGGACACAGTGTTTGATTTTAAAAACAAACCTTTTAAGAAACATCCTTGGACCTTATTTGAATTCTTTCCTGACAAGAGAAAAATGTTGGACACACAATCCTGGCTGCTGTTTGACTGATATTTAAAAGATGTTACACAGCAGTGAAACAAAGGAAAAAAACCCTGGTGGTTCCAGCCCACTTCTAATCATCCTCACCCAGGGAACCGCTCCTGCATGCATCACCCCTCCTACCTTCCTGGCCACGAGCTGTATTTGACTAGAACAGTAAATGTGCCAGTGGAAGCTCAGGGGGCTAACTGATGCCCGTTGTAAAGGTGTGAGTGTTTTGCCTTTTGGATATGTGCCGTCATTGGCTTATTCCAGAAAAGCTGTTACTATCGGCTGAGTAACCTCTGCTGTGCACACAACACTGCTGTGAGGTAAAAAATATATCTTGTATCTCCAAAACACCAACTGGTTTGGGATTTACTTTATTTTCTAGATTTTAAAAGGTTTCATGTGCAAAGGATTCTTCAAATTTCTTTTAAAACATCAAGTAAAACATGTAAAGCTCCAATTTAAGCTAAAATGTTTAAATTGCTAAAGGTGGAGTTACAAGGTTGTCACATGACGGCAGCGATAAGCTGGGTGCCACAGCGGGTTTGCAGGCTCATTCATTTTCAGCACAATGAATTGTGCACTGGGGTGTTGAGGTCGGACCAAACCAAAACCAAAGGGGCAATGATTTGATTTTCTGCTCCATAAACACTTTCTTATTTGGAAGCAGTGTAATGTGCCATGCAGCAGCAGTGGCCATCTTTATGTAATTTGGCTCTATAAGGAAGGAGCTGCTGACAGTCAGATCTCAGTATTGGTCCAACAGAGGGCAAAGAGCTTATGAAATTAATTTTCTGTGGAGAAAAGCCTTTATAGTACCTGTGATAGAATTTGCTTGCTTGAACTTTCTTGTCTTTGGTTAAATGGATTGTGAGAGGATAGTATACGATACCTGAGCACACAGTTTAACTTTGTGACATGAACTTTCTCAGCACGGTGAATGCTGCAGCTTTCCACAATGTGTTTTATTTTTTTCCAGAGGAGGAGTGGGCGACTACCCGTCCCAGTCTCAAAGCCCCAGTTTTACGGCTGACAAGAAGGGGCTACAGAAAACATCCCTATGGTAGATACTGAAGGTGCTCCAGATATGTGACCTCCAATTTCAAACTATTTCTATATTTTTTAAATTCCTCATAAAATGTTGTAACACTTGTTTTTTTTTTTCCGTCTCCTTCAGAAATTGAAATAAAGAATAAACCCATAAAGCACATAAATCCACAAACTTTAAGATTACTGGAGTACTGATTTTATTTATTTATTAAAGGACAGGGACATTTTTTGAAAAATACAGAGAGGAAATGAAAAGAGACACTCATCATGTACAAGAAGGTTGTTCCTAAAATTGGCTTTTTAAATGCCCTTCATTGCACCTCGGTACCCAAAAAGTGGTCATTTCAGAGTTTGGACATTAAACTACAGATGTTTTAAGTCTCAGATTTGCGAGAAATTAATTTCCATGTATTGCCTTTAATGCAGTAATTATCAAGGTTTACTAGTCAACCCCCCTCTATGCCAGAAAGAGACACAATGTTTTTGTCTGTTGAGACGCTCACTGTGACAGATTAGGCAATCATAGAGTCATAGCTTAATACTGTTGGACCCTGACCAATCATAGCTTTCTTTCACAACTTCCTTGAACTACATACACCGATCAGCCGTAACATTATGACCACCTGGGCACCCTGGTGGTCATTATTTTATG